TCTGCCCCAGGCTTCCTGGAATCAGCTGCTGATCAGTTTCAGCAGCAGCTGACTTGGGGACGCTTGGGGTTCTTAAGTTGAATCTGTATGTAAGTCAGAGCTGGAGGTCAGTTTCAACAGCGGCTGAATCTGGACGCCAGTTCCGACTTACATACAGATTCAACTTAAGAACAAACCTACAGTCCCTATCTTGTACGTAACCCGGGGACTGCCTGTATATAAAATGGCAGTGTATTTTCCATTTTATTTCTGTCATTCTGTTCTCCCCACCTCCCTGATTCCTGGTGAATTGAATTAAAATATAAACAGCTTAGGTGCTTAAATACTGGATCTTATCTGTTTCATATCTGAAGAGGGGGGTTTGCTAATTTGAGTGTTCTAATCCTCTGAGTTCTTGACTTTGAAGATGGCAGTGGTGGTAATGTATCTTTCTCCTACTTGCTGATCTGAAGATAGTATTTCCCCCCCCAGAGAAAGCATTTACAGGCTGCTGCCTCAGACCACTCCTGAGAATGTGAGTAAAAACTTCAGCCAGTACAGCATCGATCCTGTCACCCGGTATCCCAATATCAACATCAATTTCCTGCGGCCAAACCAGGTAACTGGGCTGGCAATATTTTTGACAGTATGTAATCTGTATGATCTTCATGTAGCCACTCGTCTATATCAGAGTTCTCATCTAGGGGTGAGAGAGCAGCACAACGAGCCATAAACAAATGCCAGGTTGCAGTGCCATTCACTCACATTTGGTCCCATACCAGTCTGTCGTGGTTGAGGAGTGGCAGGACCAAACTTTAGTGAGACATGGCATTGACAAACATGGTATTGCCATGGACAGAAGATGGTCAAGTGTGGTGGGGAGAGGACTCACCTAGGCGCAGATGCGCATATCATGTTGTGGCAAGCTCTTCCAAACAGTGAGAGCCAGCAGACCAGAGCAGAAAATTGGGCCTGGTACACATGACAGGAGCTGTTATCTAGGGGGAGTGCAGTGTGGGCTCACTTTCCAGCACTCTTCTCTCCACTCCCCTACACACTGGGCCAGGATAGAGCCAGACCCTGCCCCCGTGGGACAGAAGTCGTCATTGTTTGCATCTCTGTGCCCTCAATGCTGTCTATTGCCATAGTGCCAGGCAGCACCTTGCCCTGCACCCCAGTGCCCTATATGCATCCATAGTGCCAGAGGGCACCCTATCCTGCTCCTTCCAGTGCTGGGCATTGTTTCCTGCCCTGCATTCCTGGTGAGTGCTGGGTGGACATTTCCCAGTGCCTGGGCCTGAGGGTTGAACACAAGAGCCACTGCTGCCTAGGTTGGCTGAGAGTGCACACTCAGACGTTTCTGGCTAGGTGGTAGAGCCCTTCTCTAAGAAAAGTAATATGTTAAGGGGGGATTTGATTAAAAAAGATTGAGAATCGCATGCCTATATGAGTATTTAGCAAATTAGACAGCAACAAAAACCAGAAATACTAACCAGGCATAAACCATTGTAGTATACTTTCTTCCCTTTTGACTAGATATTATCAAGTCTCTAACCACTGTTCACAACCATGTCAATGGTAACTCTGAACTTCTCTGCATTTTGACAGTTTGACATGCTGATAATGTGATTTTTGTATCTCCTTTGTAATAGCTCAATATTAGAGTTGTCTATTGTGCTGTTAATAATAGAATATTACATATTTTTGATATTTTCTGTGTTTTCAAAAATAGTGATTTGATTTTCAGTACAGAATACAAAGTATAGTGCTCACTTTTTATTTATTTTGATTACATATAGTTGCACTGTAAACAAAAGAAATATTATTTTTCAGTTCACCTAATACCGTGGTCACCCAACAGGTCGATCGCGATCGACTGGTTGATTGCGAGGCGTCCTGTCCGCCCCGCCCCCATTTCCCTCCCACTCCCGAGAAGCCCCACTACCTACCTCCAGTGAAAATGGAGGTAGTGTAGGCTTCCCGGGGATGGACAGAAGTCCTGCAGCTTAGCGCCACTTCCGGCGATTCCGGAAGTAGCGCTAGCTGCTCTGCCGGGTGTACTGCGGGAGGGAGCATTAGCTCCCTGCACCACATGGGAGGGGTGAGTCAGCCCTGGGGGAGGCACGCGGGGGGATGGGCCCCGGGGCAGGCACCTGGGGCAGGCGCGCATGGGGCTTCCCTGCACCGGGGGAAGGGGTTTCAGCCTCCAGGGCAGGTGCGCGCATGGGGTTTTCCTACGCCAGGGGGTCGGCCCCGGGGCAGGCATGCGCTGGTTTCCCTCTGGGGGGCGGGAATCCTGGGAGGAGGCAGATACAAGGGACTCTCTGCCTCCACTGGCACCCCACTCCCCAGCCACAGAACTCTGTCCCCACTCCCCTAACTCTGTCCCCAGCTACAGAACTCTGTCCCTACTCCCCTCCCCACTCCCCGAACGCTGTCCCCACTCTCCTGTCCCCAGCCACAGAACTCTGTCCCCACGTCCCTGTTTCTAGCTACAGAACTCTGTCCCTATTCCTGTCCCTACTGGCCCCCTGTCCCCAGCTGCAGAACTCTGTCCCCACTGGAACCCTGTCCTCTGCTTTCCCAGCACCCTGTTCCCTCTCCCCTGCCCCCAGCCACAGAACTCTGTCCCCACAAAATATATAATTATAAATGCTTCATTTTAGATTTAAATAGCATGAATAAAAAACAGACCATTTATTTCATAACTATAAACACGTGATTTTAATTTTATACATCGCATAATTTAAAAATAAACTGTTTATCAGAGTGTGTAAGTAAGGGCTGGGGATAGCAAGTAATGGACAGAGGGAGAATAGAGAGGGCGGGCTTCAAGAAAGGGGCGGGGCAGCAGATCTTCGCCTGTTCGGAGATTTTAAAAGTGATCTTGGGTGTAAAATGGTTGGAGACCACTGACCTAATACAAGAACGCAGTGCAGTGTCTTTATCACAAAAGCTGAACTTACAGATATGTAGAATTATGTCCAAAAAACAACTTCATTCAAAAATAACTGTAAAACTGCATCCTGCTTCTTGGTCAGCCAATTACTCAGACAAACAAGTTTAGTTTCAATTTGCAGGAGGTAATACTGCATTCTTCTTATCTGCAATGTCACTTGAAAGTGAGAACAGGCATTCTCATGGCACTGAAGTAGCTGGTGTCACAAGATATTTATTTGCCAGATGTACTAAAGATTCATATGCCCCTTCATGCTTCAGCTACCACTCCAGAGAACATGTGTCCATGGTGATGATGAGTTTTGCTAGATAATGATCCAAGCAGGTATAGCGAAACATGTTCATTTTCACCATATAAGTCAGATGCTTTCAGCAGAAGGTTGATTTTCTTATTTGGTGGTTTTAGTTCTGTAGTTTCTGCACTGAAGTGTTGCTCTTTTAAGACTTCTGAAAGCATGCTCCATATCTCGTCCCTCTCGGATTCTGGATGACACTTCAGATTCTTAAACTTTACATCGAGTGAAGCTATTATTTAGAAATCTCATATTGGTACCCTTCGTTGTGTTGCCTCAGATCTGCTATGAAAGTGTTTTTAAAACTAACAACATGTGCTGTGTCTTTGTCTAAGACTGCTATAATATGAAATATATGGCAGAATGAAGGTAAAACAGAGCAGGAATCATACAGTTCTCCCCTAAGGAATTTAGTTACAAATTTAATTAATACATTGTTTTTGTAAGGAGCATTATCATCATGGAAACATGTCCTCTGGAATGATGGGTGGAGCATGAAGGGCCACGCAAATGTTTAGCATATCTAGCAAGTAAAAATGCAGGCAGTCCCCGGGTTACATGGATCCGACTTACATCGGATCCCTACTTACAAACAGGGTGAGGCAACCCCGCACTAGCTGCTTCCCCCCAGCAGACCAGGGAGACGCGAAGCTAGCGCCCACCCTCCCCCAGCAGGACCAGGGAGACACGGAGCTGCTTTTCTCAGCAGATACCTCAGCTTGAGAATAAAGGACTGAGGGAAGTGAGGTGTGGGAGAATAAAACTGAGCTCTGGAGAAATGTTTGGCTAGAGTTTCCCCTACAATATATACCAGTTCCGACTTGCATACAAATTCAACTTAAGAACAAACCTACAGTCCCTATCTTGTACGTAACCCGGGGACTGCCTGTACATTGCCATGCCAGCAACAGAAGTCCATTGTGAATGCCTGTTCTCTCTTTTAGGTAACAATTATAAAAGGTAGTGGGTAGCATTATCTTCTGAAAATTGTTACCAAAGTTGTTTGTCTTAGGGATTGGCTGAAGAAGTAGTAGGACTGAATAGCCTGGTAGGCTCTAAAATTTTCCAATTTTTTTGGTTTTTTTGAGTGCAGTTATGTAACAAAAAAAAAATCTACGTTTGTAAGTTACACTTTCATGATAGTGATTGTACTACAGTACTTGTCTGAGGTAAATTGAACAATACTATTTCTTTTATCATTTTTAAAGTGTAAATATTTCTATAAAATATAAAGTATACTCTGTATTGTAATAGTATATTTTGAAAATGTACTAAAACATCCACTAATATTTAATATATTGCAATTGGTATTCTATTGTTTAACAGTGCAATTTAATCACAGTTAATTCATACTATTAATTCAAAAAATTAACTCTGATTAATCAACAGCCTCACTTAATATGCATTGAGTGTCTACAAGTTAGTGCTTATATTGAAATGGAGGCTAGTTAGACATCATCATAAGAGCTGTTCCTTGGGATTCAATGGCTTTGGGGAATTGTGTACTGTGCAAACGTATCATAAAAAACTTTTTACATTATTATCCTCTTCTTGGTTTGTGGGGGCCACATACCATGTGTGTGTGGCCATTTTTTTTAGAATAGGAATTTAGTGTGCAAAGGCCATAGGTACTGAAACTATGAATGCAGGGGGTGCAGCAGCTCCCCCGGCTTGAAGTGGTTTCCATTTATATACAGAATTTACAGTTTGGTTCAATGGCTGTCAGCACCCCCCACTTTCAAAATTGTTTCAGCACCCCAGCAAAGGCAGTAGCTCTGGCCTGAAGAGACTTCTGCAGTATTGGCTTTTGATGAGAGAAACTGTTCTTTCTGTCCATTCATTCCACCTACATCAAAAACAGTAGTAATATATTCTGTTCTGGTTTAGGCCTTGATAGGTTAGCCTTTTTTAACTCTTTGCGTTTTTACAGGTGCGCCACTTGTACGATACAGGAGACCTGAAAGACATTCATCTGGAAATAGAGAACATGGTAAACTCCAGGACACCAAAGCTGACCCGGAATGGTAGGTCCCAGCTTAGTTAATTTCATTGTGTGCTTCCAGAGCTGAATCAGTGCATCAGACGTCCAGAGAGAGCCCCCTTTCTGTTTAGACAAGTGTCTCGTTAATTCTTGGCTCAGAAGCAGACCTTTCATATGTAATTAAACTTCCAAACATAATTTAAAATTGAACATATTATATTTACCTCAATTTCCCTTATTACAATGCATGTTCAGATATCAAAATATTTGTTTCCTAAAAGGTTTTTGGCCACCACCTTGACCCTGTAGTGGAGGCCTTATTTCAAGTAAGAAAAACCAGGCTTTACTTGATTTGGCAGTGAAGGCAAATTTTTTATTAAGTACAGATAAAAATAATGGGGAAAAGTAGAAAATTAATGAAGAAAGAGAATTATTTCTGTAGATTCTCCTCCACACTAAAACTTTCTCCTTTTTAAATTTTATCTCTGTCAGATTAAATTAATAAGTTACTTTACTTGAATTTTCCCTGTTATATAGCAGCACTACTTGTTATTATGGAGTCTAATTATTGTTCCAGTGTACTGCATCTGTTCTAGAAATTAGGTGCTTTATGCTAAGAGCTGGGATAGTTGTCTGGTGAAACCATAACCTAAAGGACTTGTTGAATTTTTTTCTTTTATATAGTGTCTTTAGACTCTTAGTAAGGTTTTGGTGTCTCTTGGAATAGTGTTTTGTTCAAATTGATCTGTTTTGTTATTGCAACTTCCTCCCATCTCCTAGATAAACAAGGTCAGGATGGCCAGGGATTTCATGGAAGACCTCCAAAGTTAATGCAACTGTCACAGAAAGGTGTTGGCATTTCTTCTATCTGAAGCAATATGGCAAGGGATTAGGGAGCATTTTATTATGAAGAATGCCATATTTTGGATCTGACTTAAATCAAGATATTGACCACTTTTGGTCATTTAAAATTTCCTGGGAATTTCACAAGAGGCAGGGTGACTTATCTAAATTACTGCTTGAGTAATTACTTTCTAGCAAACTAAAGTTCTCCCTCTATTCTGACCTGTATTCTGTATTATTAGTCATGTCCTGCCCTAACAATTTCAGTTGTATAGTGTTCCTGATGTAGGGGCATGTTTTTCTACTAGAGAGGTGGCTGCTTTTCATTGGATGAGTAACACCTTTAATATATATTATGAGTTGTACTTGGAACTCCCATGAATGAAAAATGCAGTATTACAGCTTACTAAAAAATGTGATGTTTGTTTCAGAGTCTGTAGCTCGTTCTAGTAAATTGCTTGGTTGGTGCCAGAGGCAGACTGATGGGTATGCTGGTGTGAATGTGACAGATCTCACAATGTCATGGAAGAGTGGCCTAGCCTTGTGTGCCATTATCCACAGATACCGTCCTGACTTAATGTAAGTGACTGATTGATTTACTAGAATTCAGAGAGGAGAGAGAATGTTGTTCAGATTTGTAACCAATATATGATTTTCAAATTGTTTAGAGAATAGAAGTAATATAACAGCACATTGACAACGTGTGTGAGGGAAAGGACTGAAATAAATTAAATTAGCTTAACTAA